AATAATGTAGCAGCTTCAGGCCGGAGCGATTACGGTAAGCCTCGTTGAGCTCGACGGTGGCGGCAGATGACGTCATATTCTGAAGACGGCGGGGCAGTGAAGGAGGGCCTGCTTCTGTTTACGGGGGAACACCTAAGGAATATTCCGCCGTAAAACTTTCATTAACATCGGCTCCCTGTGCGACGAAAAGTTCGATGATGTGCGCCATGGGCAAGTGTCTCTTTTTTTGGCCACCCCTGTATTCCGTGCATAGGATGGATTGTTCACGAGTATCACAGGAATGCTGTTGTCGCCACTTAAGCCTCGACAATGAGAGCGAATATAAGCTAATGTACGAGATACCTAGCGCACATCCCCTGACACACAATGTGCTACTACGCAGTGGATTGTTGGAATTGGCGCTGGTTGGTGGAGCTGTGGAGCAGGCAGATCCAGAAACCTCGTCCAGGCACGCCCCTTCATCGCCTCAAGGTGGAATAGGAGAGGCCCTTATCAAGAACTTCATCGGTGGTCCCCTATGCTTTTTTTCATTCTTATTCAACTCAGCGTCCACACCTTCACTATCTATCGCTGTTACCCCCATCGACTCTAAAAGCGCAAAAAGGCGCTAACCCCTTGCAGCAACTGCTCGTATTTTTCTCGTCCGCAGCGTGCTGGTTCCTGGCGCTCTCCCACTAGTACGCTTCATCGTCTACCCTCTGTCCTGCGTGTTCAGTTGCTGACACGATTTAGAATTGAAATTCAAAATTTCATTCCTTGCATGAATCCAGAACGCAAAAGCGACGTCAAAGTTCAGAATAACAAAGTGAAATTACCATATGATGACAGCAAACGTTAGAGTTATAATGCAATGGAAATACAGAACAACTAAGCACATGAAAATCGCGGAACACTGCTTCACCGATTCTAACAGCAACCCGTATCATCATAATACATTCAATACTCATTTTGAATAAATCGTCCGCTGGAAGTATTATATTCACAAGAGAAAAAAAACGAAGGAAAGTCAAGTAACAAACAGTAACGACAACTTATGCTGAAAACGTGATCCTGCACTCCTGATTGAAGACATGAGTTTGATATTTTTCGAAAGACAAGAAAAAAGTCAGTTCTCTTCATCGGAACTATGAACTGCTGGGGACGCCTCCTTTTCCGCCTCTTCTATGGAAGGCAGAGCAGAAACAGTGCTGACACTCTCCATTTTTCTAGTTCTAAACAGTGACATTACAGAAAAAAAGGAAAAGGAACGCTCTAATCTCGAAAAAACGACCACTCACTCCAAAATTGAAGAATTCATATTTTTGGGAGTTAACACACTGGAATCAGCTTGGGAGGGAACGTAGCGTTGTTGTGCATCTACAAAAGAGAAGTAAGTTGTGAAAATGTAGCTATAAAAAAGGAGATGTAGACGAAAAGTTTCGACGGCAAACGGGTAAGTACAGATGTCCCAATAAATACTGCACCACTTTTTTCTTACTTGTAAATTCTTTCAAATGGAAGTATTTTCTCCGAGGTTTTCACTTAACAATTAGGCAGTTAAGGTTAAACCGCTTTGAGAGGAATCCAGTTCATTCAGCGTATGCTATGGCCTTTGTTGTGGTAATGGACTCCCAGTATGGCTTTGAAAACGCAAGGTGAAACTCCAAGTTCGGGATCGGGGTGGGGAGGGGGCACTCCATTGGTTTTCTTCCAAATTACTCAGAGGAAAGGCTCACGACGCACAGTAATCGGAGCTCTAATTTAAAAGAGACTTCTGATGAAATATGTGTAATGGAGTTGAGTAACCTGAAAACATTTTCACATTTTTTGTCGCCTGCCTAGTCATCCCAAGGACTTGTCACTCGGACCAAGGCTGTAGACACCTCCGCAAGGGCTAAGGGTGCAGGAGCTCCAGGGTGGATCACCTGTGCAGAAAAGTGGATGGGATGTGGGCAGGTAGTGTGGAATGTAGGACATCCACCGGTCCTTATCAAAAGTACGCTCGAAATGAGTCGTTCACTTATTATCTTATCCGTAGTGTTCGATAGCCCAAAGAACTGCTCTCTAGTACTACGGATAAGATAGCAATGGAGTGGCCCCCCCGAACTGGAGTTTCACCAACTCAAACTCTACTTTTGTTGCATCATTTGAGGTTTCCTCTTGTCGAAAAAGTTTGCAGAGAAAAAAGGCGCTTCGGGCTCATCAATATGGACTTGGCAATGTTTTAGTGCATCAACATGCAAGGGATTTTGAGCGGGCCCAGATTGGATCCTCGAGCGCAAATAGTCTCGCTTAACAAGGCAAATTGTAGCAGAACCTAACACATACTTCTTTAGAAAAGCGGCAAAACCTTCCACTTTCAAGACTGTGACTGCGGCCTTTTAATAATGTTGCGAATTGGGGAGATATTGCCTTTTAAATGGCGAAAAACTCGCATGAAAATTTCGGCATCCTCGACGCTCCCTCGACGGATTTTGAGAGACTATATCTCTTCGAATGGAAGACTTCTCATAGCAATTCCAATGCTGCCTGATAGTAGCAAATCTAGCTCTATCTAACCCCACCACTTCGATGCTGTTTGCAAAAGGTTGGAAAATAGAGGGAATGGGAATTTGATCTAGGGGATGAGATTTGCAAAACGGTATTTTTGGGATTTTCAGCAAAAACACTGAACGAGGGACACAATTGCGCCACAGACCGCCGTCGAAAATTGGGCCGTTCATTCTACCACCTTCGGCTATTTCGTGTATACGTTGAAGGCAAGGAACTCGCGATATTAAAATAGATGTGGAAGAAGGCGTTCACTTATATTGCTAAAGGGGGGAAGGTGGTCTGTAAAAGAGAAGACGGAAAGCAAAACGAAATCACTTGGATTACCGTATAAGGGAAACCGGTCCCTTATCCAGCAAGCAATTCCAGCTTGGGATTTAAGAGAAAGGCGTGCGTTTGACGAGGTTGGCGCGAGGCCTGAACGTCTTACGTTGCATCCAGTTTGCCATTTGGGCACCCAGGGGTCGCGGTGGGAACCGCTGCCTTTTCAATGCACCCGGCCGCTTTTTCAAGCAGCGCCACGTGGCAACGACAGCGAAGGGTGGGGCTTGCGGACGAAGGTGTGAGTTGTGGGTTGGACGAGCTCCATGCGCCTTTGTCGCGTACTTTCAAGGCGCAAAAGGGGCCCGACATCAACACTTGTCCACCTGCCTGACTACCCTGGAGGATTGGAAAACAGGCGAGGGCCCGCGGTCCTATCGCGGAGCATCGCCTTTAAGCAGGAATTAAGATTCAATCGCAACCCCGTGCCTTGAGGATTTCTGTGCATTTCTGAAGGAACCTGACTTTGAAATCACACAAAGTTAATGCCTCTTTCCTCGAGTCTATATTTCAGCAAATACACAAAAGTGTGCAGCGATGAAAGAAAGTGCATAGATGACAAGATGAGGCGTCCATAACATTATTTTGCAGGATTTTTTTGATTAATTAATTGAATTAATTTGCTCTGTTTTAGGGGGTCGTGCCAGGATCTCGATTTCGGGGGGGGGGTCGTACTTCTGCGACCACGTCCTCGACACGATTTTCACCCTGGTACGAAGTAGTACGCAAACACACGCACATAATTACCAAGTGTACAGTACACAATAAGTGTTTGGGGGGGGTCGTATTGAGACTCGCCAAAAGGAGGGGGGTCGTAAAATTTTCGAAATTGGTCCAACGTGACGGTTGACCTGCCCGTTTGTCATCGCAACTGGGTCCTTGTTCAGCAGTTCTTTGTTGCTGGGTTGCTCGCTCAGGAAGAGTTACCGCTATGAGACTATGACCTATTAAACAAGATAACTTCGTCATTCCTATGAGATTTCAGGGTCAGCCAACTTGAGAACATTTCGATTTTAGCTTCTGACTTAATTAACAACCATGAAGAAATTTGCCTGAAATTTTTTCCTATTTGATCATAAGCTGGAGTTTGAATGAATAATCAAAAACAGATCAAAATTGAAATGCGTAGAAATACGTGCAAACCACTCTGTGAAAAAAATGCAAAAAGGTAAAAAAAAATGAAGGCAGGCGACTTACCTGTTGGTGCAGGGGTACGGTGAATAAGAAACGGAAACGGAACTGCTAATCGAGTAAAAGAGCCCATGTGGCTCACGGTCCGACGAAGACCCATGGTAGAACGACGACGAAGCGTAGCAAATGCTGACAATCTGTCAGTAGTGGAAGCTGACTCCAGAGAGAAATTGGCATGCGGAACGACTCTAAATCATAAATACCAAAATCAATTTTTTGACAATAAATGTGAAGGGTAAGCGTATTCAAAATATCCGAAAGTATATGAATTCAGCAATAAAATGAATGACAGAAAAAGAGCATAAATGATATAGAAATATGGTTGATAAAACTTAAGGAGAGAACAAACATCCATTCTT